TGTCCATAACAGTTGCACTGCCACTCAGTGCTTTAAGAGCAGTTACACACGGTGACTTTTAGCAGCGATACAAACGCGGAATTGCATCGCGACACTTGGGATTTATAGGCGATTGCATCGATGCAATCGCGCGTTTGTATAGATGCAGTCGCCTATAAATCGCAATTGTAGCGATGCAATCGCGCGTTTCACGAACGTATGTTTGCATCGTTGCTAAAATTCGCCGTATGTAACCACTCTAAATCGCAAAGATCTATACAAATATCAAACATGTAAATTATTTCATCTAGTTCGTGTTCTTTCATGTGGCAAAAGCTCTTTTGACGTATGATCATGTGTTGCTTTATTATATCAAAGTTACGATTTAATAATTAGAAAATTATAAAACTTTTGTACACTTGAGTGTACATAAGCCTTAAATGGTTTTTCAATTAATAAAAAAAATCAATACAATTGTGTTCATTTTTAACACCGAAAAGTAACGTAAATATAGAAACGTTGCAGTCTTATTATTATTCATTGGCGGACTTCCGTACATAGTGGTCGTTTACTCCAGTTTCGAACAATTAATGTATGTAGTTCTGTGAGAATGATTCTAAATGACGTTGGACAGGAACGTGTCAAGGTGGGTTTACCTTTGCTTTATTTTTATTAATAACGTTATTTCTACGTAACCGATAAATGTTAAGAATGTTTAATAAAATAAAAATGTGATTAGTCATAAATAAAACACTATATTACTCCAAAATTCTAGTTACATATTGAATTAATGTTTTACTTGTCAAGTACAACACAGTTAAGCCATTCTTTATTTAATACTGTGGCTTTGTACAAGAATCGCGAAAGTAATATGACCGTAGGCTCTTTTTGAATCACGCCATTTTTACAGGTTTATTTTCATTCATGTAGAGTCAGACTAAATACAGCTACGTACAATTATTACTGACAGATAATCGTAAAATTTGTTTCGCCACCGACTCTGAAAGTTGACCCCAAAACAATATTATTATTAGGTCGACAGCCTGTAATTTGTTACTTTGCATAATTGTTACAAATGTCAACTCGGCGTATCAATGCAGCATTTCAGCAGCATGAATCAAATACAATATTAATTTAATTTCGTAGCTAAAAATTATATTTTGTATTTACTTAAATACAAAATCTGCTTAATTTTATCTAACGTAGATAATAAGTTGTTCAGAGTAAAGAATTAGTGGAATCTAGTAAAAATTTCAAAATCCTCCGCCAACGAAATCTGATATAAAACGCACAAAGGTAACTTAATTTTGTGAGTTCCTTGCACTATTTTGTGTAAAGGTTGTTGTGTGTAAAGGTAGGAAAAGCTACAAAGTACAGTTCTGTGAAACAGCCCAAATCCAAAACTAATTTCAACAACAATTATCTAAATATAAATATCCTTGTCATAAATAACGCATTTGCGTATTGATAACTTTCGGAATATCGGCACCTAAATTATATTTTCTTTGAAAAATGTCATTTACGTGTGAAACTAACTGATTCCAAATATGTTACTAACTCTTTTTCGCTAAAAACGTCAATTACGTTGTTTATGACAAGGATGGCAGAATTTCTAATACTACTTGCCGCAACAATTGATCACTGCATGAAAAATTAAACACTGTGTAACATAAATTGCCTAACTAATTGTGTGCCTTCGAATTAAAAAAAAACTGTCAAGTAATTATTTCACCATGTCGTAAAACCATTACGCTGACAGCCGCTATGTCACACTCTTGGTGTAATTAATAAAGCCTGTAGCAGTTATTCTATATTCACTGATATGATAATTGATAACTGGGCCATGTTCTGAATAAATGTGTTAACTCGCAGAAAATCGTAAAATGAGTTATGAATGCAGTCAGACCTGACAATATATAAAGTTTAATATTCTTTTCAGTAATATATTTAAAAAAAAAATCGTAGTAATTGTTAAATGAAAAAATTGTTTTCACAAAATCTTATTCGTTTCACAGGCAAATTTTGCAAAAATGTGTTATGTGTGGTTAAACCATAAATGCAAATTACAACACATATCTTTCAACGTGGTTTGAAACGATTTAGTTTAAGTAAACTTAACACATACAACTTGTTTGAAAAATGTTAATACTTTAAATTTTGTCGATGATATGGATAGACCGGAAATGATATAGATTCTGAAACTGAGGATTGGGCGATGAGAGTAATAGAAAAAATAAAATTAGAATTTGGCAAATGGCGCACCTTTCAATATATTTATTGCGAAAACTGAAGCTTAATTGGTTTATTTCAATCTGAAAGAAAAATAATGAAGGCGAATGCGAGTAAGACGAAGGTGTTGTAATTGAAAGGGATAAAAGTTGAAAAATGGGAACAAGATTGAACCAACCTTCGAGAGCCCTGTAACGCTTTAGGATGGATTCTACTCCTTTGGCGGGAGGTGTGGTGATGGAAACGAGACGGTGGCACCAGTTCGAAAAGTTACTCAGAGCACTCCCCATTGTAAAGACAATAAAACACGCACAGAGAGCCAACGTCTCTCCATAGGCTAAGGGGCTCCATACCATCGGGGCTCCATCGTCTGCGAGTTGGATGGAGTCAAGTGGGTCAATCTGGTGTTTGGGAGCTCCTGCCAAGAGATGTGAGCAATACTCCATATGGGGCCGTAACCTGTGTTTTATACAACAAAAGTCGGTGAGAAATACTGCTTCACTCTATTGAGCACTCCGAGTTTTTTGGAAGCCAGTTTGGCTTTGCTCTCCAAATGACCCCGGAACTGAACTTCGTTCGTATGTCCAGTCCAAGTATCCCAATACTCTTAGAGATGGTAAGGAGAAAAAGGTAAAGGTGTTCTGTAACTGAGGCGCTATTACAAACGGGTATTTTTAGCGGTAAACGCGTGTCTTTGCAGGGTTAAATTTGACAAGATTCTGTCGGCCCTATTCTGAGACCTGCTCCAAAGAAGTCGCGATTTTGGACACAAGTTGCAATTTTTTTTTAGTTCCACTTGCTGATATATATTTGTGCGACCTGTATAATAGGCATCACTGGTACTGTCATCCGTATAGCAATGATTGTTACTAGTTAATAACATATCGTTGATATCAGGATGAACAAGGTTGGCAATAGCACAGATCCTTGCGGAACGTCGGCATTAATGAGCATGGTGTCCGTGCACAATCCGTCCACAGCGTTTTTGAAGCTCCGCTCAGACAGGAAGCCAGCTATCCAAGTGCACAGCCCTTTTGGAAGCCCGTAAGATGGTAGCTTCGGTAGAAATGCCTTGTGCCAAACCCGATCTAAAGGCTTAGCGATGTCTAAGCTCACGGCCATTGCTTCCCCCTTGCTCTCGATGGCAGCTGCTCATTGGTGCGTGAGATACACAAGAAGATCACCAGCACTACGACCGCGGCTATATTAATAAGAGATGGTTAGTGTGATGATATTGAACGGAAAGTAATAGTCGAAATCAGGTAAATGGAGCTCTGTACGCCTTTATGAGTAGCCAAAACGTGTCAAGAAAGTGCGGGTTCCAACCTTGATGTACGGTAGCGATTATTGGGTGTGACAGAAGAAGCATGAAATTAGGGTATTAGTATAAGAGCTTTGAGTAGTATGTGCTCTGTTAGTGCGTTCAAATTAGGCGTTTATAGAACCGCTACATTGCGCCATTGTGGCACTGCAACCGCGCCACTACGAAAAAGTAATAGGAGAGCATCGTGTAGTGAAAGATTATGTGGTCAAGTAGAAAGGATGGATGTTAGTAGACTTAAACGTGGGAAGCGTAGGGAGACATTGACGCACACGTTTCAATCAAATCTCGTAAAAGTAAGGAATCTAACGCCGTGCGGGGAGGCTCCTTTTGTGCACCCCCTATTGTTACTGATCAAAGAAGAAGGGCTATTGATTATTGAAAACAAAACGCGTTGACTAACAAAAATAAAACTACTGTTACTTGGTTTAATACATGATCACTATGAAAATGTGACTTTTCAGTGTTTGCAAGGATTAAGTGACACTTTATACGTACTTTTCCGTATTTAGCAAAAATGTGTTAACCACACTTGACACGTAAAGTAATAATTTTGTTGATATATCGAATTTTGCATAAACCATTTTCGTTTAATTACTAATCAAAAATTTGTTAACTTAAAAAACTAATAAACTGATCGTAATGCTTACTTCATTACAAATCTTTTGATATACTAATTGTCCTGTAAACTTCATTAATTAGATGAGTAATAACAAATACATAGTTGCCAAAAATCTTTAATGCTCAGTATCTCGAAACTGTCATTTTGTGGGTTAACGCATTTATGCAGAACAGGACCCACTATGATAATTTACGATAATGATAATATGATAAACTGATAGACGGAGCTAATTAAAACAACCAACTCCGCTGAGTGCGTGACGAACATTCAATTTTTTATAATAATAATAATAATAATAACGCACACACTCAACGTAGCCCCGCACCCGCGAAGGTTTCCCCAACCTTGTGTCGCGGGTGCTATAGACACACACATAGACAACCACAAATTACACCCAAACTCACGAGAGAAATAAATGTAGGCCATACAAATATTTCTCCCGGCCCGGGAATCGAACCTGTGACCTCTACCCTATATAACCTGTAACCGTTCGGCCACGGAGTTAGTCAATTTATAAAATATTTAATCAGTTAGTTTATAAAATATTTTGACGACCTTATTCATAACAGACACGTACCATTTACCCGTACATACAAGGCTATATTTGCAAAAGAACAATATTTCAGGACACAGTATCAAAGATTCTACGAATTCTACAGGCGAATTAAGAAATTTTTTTCCTGTAGTTTGTATGGTTTTTATGGCTTTCGTGTAATACATGCACTTTTGACTTATGATCACATGTAAAATTAAATGTAAGATCAAATGAAGAAGCCAAATGTATGAAGGTACTGTTCTGTACTGTACTGTAATCTTTGAAACATAATTTAAAAAATAACTTGTCTGCAGGAAACAAAAGAAGAGCTAAACAAAAAGCAGCACGATGACAGCGACGCACTCGAGGCTGTGCTCAGTCACGTGGGCGAAATGGGCCGATATCAAAAGTGGCTGTTTGTGGCCATGGCACCCTTCGGTTTCATCTTTGCCTTCGTCTACTTCGTGCAGATGTTCGTGGCTGCCACACCACAGACCCATTGGTGTAGAGTACCTGAATTGGAACACTTAGATCAAGAATTAAGGTACATAGTTAATCACACCCGGTACCATGGTGAACCATAGGCACAAGCTGTCAGATTACATTAGTTCTTGTCAAGACAAAATACAAAGATTACTTAAGTAGTGTATTCATAAACTATTTAATATGCAATATGTAAATAAATTATGTAGTCGTAAAATGGCGCAAAATCTAGTACCTGAATTAACAAATCTTGATACAATTACAGACAGACAGCTTGATATCATTATTAAGGTGGAATAAACAGCAAAAGAAGTGTAGGCATAAGTAGCATTGTAAAAACATTCCATTTATTAGCAGTAGAGTTCCTTGTAAAAGAGTTCGTCCAGGAAGTACTTAACTTACCTATTTCTGCCACCAAGCAATAACGTGAGCCAAAAAAAAATGAAAAGCCATACCGGTTTTGATGGATAAGGGTCCTGGTGAAATTAAAGGCACATGAGACTTGTCAACTTATGAATGAATGAATGAATGAAATATTCTTTATTGCATAAAAAAATATAGTTCAAATACAATACAGTTACTTAGGTTTAAAAATAGTAAGATAATGTGCAACAGACGGCCTTATTGTTTGTAGCAATTTCTTCCAGGCAACCTTAGGATAGAAATTTGGGATATGCAAAAAGGGTGCAACCAAAGAATATTATTATAAGTACACTATATAATAATTATTAATAAGCTCATATACGTAGATAGAAATATCCATACAAATATTATTAACACGGAACAACACATATATAATAATATTAAATGCTTCTATACTTTGAAAGGAAAAATAAAAATGAAATAATAAGTATAGGAAACAAATTAAAGGATAGTTGAGATAAAGACAAAACTTATGTAGGAGTTGAGGAAATGATCCTTGACACGTCGTTTGAAGGAATCAAGAGAAGGGGAGCCTTGAATCGAAAACGGGAGACATGGTCAAATTTACGAAGTCCGAAGATGAACCTCACACACATATTTTGGAGCCGTTCCAATTTATTGAGCAGAGTGCTGACAAATCCGGGTAGCAAACATCTACGTAGTCTAGTATCGGATGGAGAATGCTCAGGGCCAAAATAATTTTAGTTTCAGTGGGCAAAAAGTTTTCAAACCTTCTCATGGAAAAATGCGCACCAAACACCTTCCTGCTAACCTCAGCAACGTGTGGCTTCCAAGTCAGACATTTATCAAAAATTACCTGCAAATTCCTAACTATGTCCAAAAAAGGAATTCGGACACTATCAAAGACCACGTGGAGTAAGGAGTCTAGGTCTGTACGAGAAGTGAACCAAGTGCTATCTATAATAATGAGTTGTGTTTTGGACGGGTTAACTTTTAGGCTAAAGAACTGACTCCATTAACGGATGGGCTCAAGGTCCTCATGATAATATAAATAGCACTTGGTAAGTCTTGAAGAGACGACTGGGAGCAAATTTGGAGGTCATCCGCGTATAGATGATAGGAAGAAGTGAGAGAGTGTGTAATAGAATTAATAAACAAAGATAATAAGAGAGGAGAAAGGACGCAACCCTGCGGAACTCTGGCAGAGATACCGCACCACGTAGAGAAAGAATTCTCATTACGTACACACTGCCGACGTCCACAATTTTACCTATCAATAGTCCGATATGACATTTTGCAGAAATAACGGTTGGTCGAAATTTCTTAACCTCGAAAGTAATTTTGAGAGGAAAATGTTTTTTCTTTTAAACCTTTTTTTTTTTGACGGGGGGAATTTTTTTTGGATACCCCTGGGCCAGGGGAGCCCCGGGGGTAAGGGGGGGCCCCCCCCCCCCCCCGGGAAGGCCCCCCCCCCCACCCCCCCCCCCCCCCCGGGTTTCCCTCTCGCTGGTTGAGTCGGCGCCGTGGGATCAGTGAACATTCACCACAACGCCACCCGGCCCTAGCTTGCGCCAGTCGAGTCGGTTGTCCTCCGACCCGCCCCCCAGACGAGTGGGGCCGTGCAATGCAGGCTCCGGAGTCTCTGTGCAGAGCCCGCTGGTCTCACTCGGGGATCAGGCGAGCAGCGAACTGCCTTCGCCTTCTCCCCGTACGTCTGCGCCGGAGCGGGTGCGCGTCCGCCGCGTCCTCACGCACCCGCTCCGCGGCCTCCTTTTGCGACATAACCTCTGTGCAAAAGGAGGCCACCGCCTCCCAGGCCCTCTTTCCACCGGTCCCGCATGCGCTGCGCCGCCAGGCGGCGCTCCCGCTCCACCTCTTGGGGCGCGGGTCGCTCGCCTCGGTCCCTCATTCCCGGCCGGTAGGTGCGGACTTCCGCCAGGACCTCGGCTTCGAAGTCCCACGGCGGAGTACCGGCGAGGACGCATGCGGCAGCGCAGGCCACCGTCATGTACGCCCTGCACATTCGCAGGGCGACCACCCTCTGGGGCCCCTCAGCAGCGACTTCGTCGCCGCTGATAAGGCCCCACTCCAAATGGGAGCCCCGTATAAGGCCATACTCCGGGTCACCCGGCGTATAGCCTTCTGCATGGGGCTCCCGGCCTCCCGAGGTTGGGCAGGAGCCTGCCCAACGCCGATGCGGCGCCCACTATTCGGGGAGCAAGTTGCCGAAAATGCTCCCCGAAGTTCCATCGCGGTCAAGTCCCAGATATTTCATCTGGGGCTTGACCGGGACCGATTCTCCCGCGATGGAGATGTGGGCGCCTTTTTCTTTTAAACCTAACTTAACCTAACTGAACCTAATCGTGTCTTTGCGACAAACATTCAACATATTCTGAAAGAACAACTGTTTTGTTATAATTCGGTTTTCGGTGTAATGAAACTTCGAACGAACGTTGTTTCGGACAAAAAATTTCGACTTTGTGATAGTTTACCCGTCCACAGAGGTAGCTTCGAAACCAATCAATAACTGCTGGAGATATGTTAAGAGAACGCAATACTTCCAATAATAAGTTCAAGTCAACTCCATTGAAGGCATTACTAAAGTCAAGGAGTGTCGGCACAGTCAATTGTTGATTTTCCATACCCTAACGGATGTCATCAGTGATTTTCGTGAGTGCAGTAGTCGTACCAATGCGGAAACCGGACTGGAGAGAATTGAAAATGTTGTTCTTGTTTAGGAAATTAGTCAACTGATGATGAACAAGCTTTTCTAGGACTTTCGACAACTTATGTCTCTGGGTGATAGGCGCAGTGGCAGTCCTTCAGATCTTTGCGATTTAAAGCTCTGAGTGGCCCTGCAACTACCTGCTATACCACCACCAGGCGCACGACTTATTCGTATATATTTGTAGTTAATATGTAGAAGTGTGCTCTTTAGCGTAATTTACTATCTGAGCCCCAAAGTGTATCTGAGAGATAAATTGAAAGAAATCAACATTCTCACCTTACAGTATATTTGTGAAAATGTAACATATGTTAAATTTTTAATTTTAATTCTTAATTTGAAATCGCGCGTAACCGGAAATCCATCCCCTAGTTTGCCACCCTTAGACGTGGAATATTTTCTTCAAATTCAAATGAAACCACTACTGAGGTACCCCCTTTCCAACAAAAAAGAATCGTCAAAATCGGTTCACAAATGCCGGGGGTTATCGTGTAATATACGTATGTCCAAAAACAGAATTGAGAATTTTCTCCTTTTTTGAAGTCGGTTAACTAAGTTACAAATACGCTTCTATAAGATTCCTGATTCAAAATTTGCCATTTATAAGGTTCGAAACTATCGCAAAACAAAAATCTTATGCAAAAGATTACAAATACAGCTTCTACATACCTCTAGGTCTAGCACGATAAGGCGCGACTTCTGAGCGACATAAAGCGCGCGATCTCTATGCGAGAATATAACAGTATTTCATGCTAGCCCTGCTGGATGGCAAAAATTCATGGTAGTGAAGCGTTTAGCTTTTTATGTACTGCTTAGGCAGATCCATGTTATTTTAAAATAAGTATTGATAATAATGAATGTGAAGAAATGCTTATTAACAGAGAAAACTACTACTATTTCTTTTCTTCAGAGGAAGTATTTCATTCATTTGATGATTTTAATTGTAATTGTATAGAAAATAAAGATATCAGTATTATAATAAAGCCACATACATGTGATCATACGACAAAAGTTCTTTTATCACATGAAAGTCATAAAAATATCGGACTACGTGAAACAAATTACGTAAATGTTAAAACTCTCCTATTTAGAGTGACGATTTTTAGCAGCGATGCAAAGGCGCGACTGCATCGATACAAACGCACGACTGCATTGATACAAACGCGCGATTACATCGTTGCAAACGCCTATATATCCCAGGTGTAGCGATACAATCGCGCGTTTGTATCGATACAGGTCGCGCGCTTGCATCGCGTTTGCAACACTGCTTAAAATCGCGCGCGTGTGTAAAGGTAGACGATTAGCGACTGCATCACTGCTAAACGACGCCATGTGTAACCGTTCTTAAACATATAAAAGTTATGGAATAATTCGTCTGTAAAATCTTTAAACCTTTTTCCAGAAAAGTTGACGTTTTGCAGATGTGATCTTTTTAGGTAGGTACACCAAGGGTGCCATATTTTGATTTCAATGTGGTAAAGGAAAGATTATTTATTTTGTGTTAGGTCTATGTAATGTTGGATCTAGACTCTAAGTTGTACATGTAAATTGTAAGTCAAAATACCATTTTCTGCTTTTTAATTTAAATATACCCTTTTTTATGCACATTACAGGTTTAAAGTTTGAAAGTAAACATATGTATAACAAAACTACCTGATTTTTGTACTTTTAAATGTCGTCGCTTAGCAAACAACACCGCTTTATCTTAGTAATCTGAGCGCGTCATAAAAAGTTTAAAAAAAAACAGATTATAAAAATCTTTTTTACAATAGAACTATATATGCAGGTTTTTCACGCTTCTATAAAATTACTTGAAATTACTTAAGCGGTGTGGTTTGTTAAGCGACGACATGGTATAATATGCATATAACGTATACATTTGACATAAAAAGTGAAAAATTTTAATCTCAGTACAGGTACTATAAAGACCGACCTCAAATCATCTATTTGCCAAGTTTTATTGCAATCCGTTATCGGAAAGTGCGCGAAACCTGATTCATTCCCTAGTTTGCCACCCTTAGTGGTGGACAATTTTCTTCAAATTCAAATGGGACCACTACCGACCAACAAAAAAAAATCATCAAAATTGATTCATAAATCTATCACTAAGCTATCGCGTAACATACAGCCTTGGCCAAAAGTATTGAGCACCCTAAAAATCCCGAACGGGCACAATAAATATTGCAGAAAACAGGTCCTATTGTTAAGGATTATTTTTTAGGCAGATGCCTCAAAAATAATCCTTAACAATAGGAGCTTTGTAGATACAAAGGTTTAAAAACAATGACCCCCACACCGTAACTAGCAATAAAACACCTGGTGCCATAAAATTTGTCATTTTACGATTTTTGTATTTATTTCTCAGTTCACTACTATCGTTACGTACACATCCAGTGATCTAGTGCGCTTCTGGTATTTTGTTTAGTTCCATTTAGTGATATTGTTGCAATATGCCTAAAAAAAACGAACTTAGTTTAGAACAACGTGTGCAGATACAACTTCTGCATGAGCAAGGGAAATCACAGGTAGAGATTTCTAAAACTGCGAAATGTTCGCGCCGATCTGTGCAATTAACTATTGAATCGCTCAATAGTAAATTGCACGCCGCTACTGGATCCCATAGTAACAGATACAGAACAGGGCGCAAACGCATCACCACAGATCGTGAGGACCGAAAGTTAATGAGAGAGTCGTTAAAAAATAGGAAGAAAACTTCTTCAGATCTCGCTGCTGATTTCTCTGTTGAAATTAACAGACCTATTTCTGCTCGCACTACTCGAAGAAGGCTTCAGGAAGTTGGTCTGAAAGGCTGTAAAGCCAGGAAGAAACCATGGCTCTCACAAAACAACAAGAAGGCTCGGTATGAATGGGCCTTAAAATATCAAAGTTTCACCGAAGAAGATTGGTCAAATGTCGTGTGGTCAGACGAGTCAAACTTTGAGGTGAGTTAGACAGTTTCACGTTCTTAAGATATTAAAGAATGTGATTTGAAAATAAAATTCAATAACAAAAATATTTTAGATTTCCGAAGTCACTACATTTTTAAAAAATTTCAGATTTTTGGTACACCTGGTGTGACTTTTGTGCGCCGCCGGGCAGGATTTAGTCCAGCCTGTATAATGCCAACCGTAAAACACGGTGGAGGCAGCATAATGATCTGGGGCTGCATGACTGATTCAGGAGTTGGCGAAATGTTTGTGTGTGAGGGTCGCATGAACTCTTCAAAATACTTCAACGTCCTGGAATCTGCGTTGCTGCCCTCATTTTCAACTCTTTTTGGCGATACAAATATGGATGGCGTCAAATTCCAGCAGGATAACGCGCCATGTCATAAATCTGCCAGCACTATGACATGGTTTAGAGAAAAAAACATTGAGCTTCTGGAGTGGCCTGCCCAGTCTCCGGACCTAAACCCCATAGAACATTTATGGGGTTTATTAAAGCGCAACGTCAGGCGCCACCCAATAAATACAAAGGAAGAACTAAAACGCCGTCTGCGCCAAGAATGGAACGCTATACGTCCTGAAGACTGTAAAAATCTTGTCCGCTCTACATCAAAAAGAATTTCTGCCGTAATTAAGGCAAAGGGTGGACACACGAAATATTGATTTTTATTTAATAAATAGTAATATTAACATGTGTAAATTGTTTCAAATTATTTCATTTTCGTATTCCCCAAAAAACTGTGAGTTATCATGGGTGCTCAATACTTTTGGCCAAGGCTATACATACAAAAAAAATACAGTAAAAAAAGGAGGTGGAGGAGTTCTCTCTCCTTCTTTTTTTGAAGTCGGTTAAAAATAGTATTTTAACCATATGTTAAAAATGGTTAAAACTAATGGTTACAACAACTTACGTCTAAGGTATCTATTTATAGCCTGTTTAACGATAAGTAGGTAAATGTACCTACTTCGTTCTCCGTTCGAATGCGAACGCGTGAGAATTTTGTCCTATATCATTATCTCTTTCTATTGACAGTAAAGTGGGTTGCCCAACGACGTTGATTAGATAGATACATATACAGAGATAATCATGAAGATATTTATTTCTCCATTCAGATAGCTAAGTCGTTTGCTTCGTCATTATAATAATAGCTTTTTATAAATCTCTGCCTGTAGTTACTATCTACTGAGCTATTCAGAAGATACAGAGATAAAGTAAATTACTATCTTGTTTAGGCATGCTCTACATATCATAACTAAAATAATCGATATTTTTAGCGAAATTGAGTTATTAATAATGTCTGGAATCAGCGAAACGAAATCTACAACCATCCGTTTGTTTGTTTTTTTTTTATATCTTAATATATATACATATATATATTTTAAGGGAAAATTACCACGATCCCCCCCCAAAAAGAAAGCTCATGGGCGTGCGCATTCTTCCCGGCCTTACTTACGGTGCTCAAACTTGGTCTTTGACGAATGGTCAGAAGTTCGCGTGTGTCAGCGAGGCTTGGAGCGCAGTATATAGGAAGTAAAACTGTCAGACTGCGTGCGAAACAGCATACTGCGCTCCAAAACACAAATCGTTGACATTGATCATAAAGCCGCGAGCTTTAAATGGAACTGGGCTGGACATGTCTGCCGCATGTCAAACGAGCTGTGGGCAAAGATCACCACGGAATGGATCCCACCAAACGCAAGACCAAGCTGTGGAAGACCTAGAACGAGATGGATTGACGAATTGGACGCTTGTCCTGACGCGGCGTTAAATCGCGAAGACTGGAAAAAGGGAAGGGAGGCCTTTACCCTGAAATGGGACTGTAATGGCTGAAAAATGAAAATGAAATGAATGAAATACATAGTTTCAGTTTTATTGTTATACAAATCAGTGTAATTGAGATTTTTCAAATAAAAGAAAAATTTGGTGCCAATATCTGGAAACTTACCAGAATGCAAATGCGTTAGTTATGACACTTTATACAAGAGTCCCACAGAGAGAAATAAAACATTGAAATAGGCAATATATTTTGAATTAAACAACTAGAAAATCTAGGAACTCCCGAAATTATGAGTGAGAGTTTAGTTATATACCTTTAAAAACTGAAGAGAATTCCTCTGTCTGACGGAACTAACTACACTAACTATAATTTTATTTGAAACACTAAAGTGCATCGGAGTCGCTAAAACGGTTTGTTATGAAACAACTACAAACGGAAAAAGCGGTTCCACTGAAATTGTACTTCTATAGTTGATCATAAACAATGCCTCGTTACGGCTATTGTGACGTATATTATCGAAAATAATCTTCAGGCATCCGAACGGTTTTGGTTTCTTTTTTAAATTCGTAACAAGAATTTTTGTATATTTTAAGTATATTTTAATTTTTTTTTTAATAACACATTTATTATTTTATTTTATTGTTTTCTTTTATTTTTTTATGGGTGGATTAGAGACACCGTGTGGCTCTAGAGCGCTACAGTACCATAATCGGTAGGGACGCCGCGTGTCTCTGTGACGGGTTAATTGTTTGATGGCATCTATTGTAATAGAGGATACCAAAGACGAAACGAGCTAAATTATTCTGTCATAATTATTTATAAATCCGATTCCAAAGTAACTACGTAGTATCGAGACAGTTAAAGGAAATAATGGCAAGTTTGAATATAGACACACGGTTTTCCTCTAAACATTTACAAACATTGTACATTGATTGACAGGAAATCATGATCAAAATAAGGAAGTTCTTTGAAGAAATTACTTAAATAGGTAGTGTATATATTGTCGAGATCACATATATAAAGTTAAACATAAATTTATTTCAATATAACTTAATCTTACACAATACAAGTAAAACAAATATAAATAAAGCTATTATAGTATTAAAGTTATTTAGATCAGATAAGGGAAAAAGTTAACGTCGTGTCGTATCAGGAAATCAAGCTTAAAGCGCTAAACAGAGATGATTGGAGATCACTCCACCGACAAGAACCTAGCTCTTAAATGAGAAGAAGAAGTGTTAAAGTAAGCACTAAGAAGGGAACCTAAATTTTACAATATGTATCTTACGCAACGGTTGCTGGGAAAGTCAATATTTTTATTTCATACGTAAATAAATTACACTTGAAATCGTCATGTTGATTAAACTCTACTTCTCACTCTTAAGGCAGATTCCCCTGAAAAGAAGGAGCAAGAAACTCTAGGGGTTGCCCTTTGTAAACATTTGAATACATTTAGCATTTGCAATACTATATAAACATCGTAGATCAACCTGCAAGGCACTACGATGACTTTTTGTCATCCAAGTACGCAGAATGTGTTTATTTTTTATAACCTATATTACCTTTAGTATAAAGTTTTTGTTTCATTATAGTTTTAAACCCCGAGAATAGCAAATTAATATCAATCGTGATCTTAATAAAGAATAATAACATTAAACATTGCCTTCTAAAATGAATTTGTGACTTTTTGTACACGACTGTCTAGAACAACCTGCATAAGTTTTGTAGAATAGATAATAAAACCAGTGGATCTATTAATAAATATTTCCTTTCAAAGCGGTTATGTCATTTACATACAGTATAGTATCATAACAATTGAAAATTACCATAAGCAAAACCTAATAATAGATACATAGGTATTTTATCCCAATGTAGGTATGTAAAATTTTTCGCAGATGGAATTTATCAGTACCGATGTTAGAATCGGGCGATTACGATCGATGCAGAACTTTCGAGGCAAACTGGAGTCATGTGCTCGAAACCAGCCAGCCACCACATCCCAACACCTCACAGGTGGAGTGTCCCCACGGCTGGGAGTTTAAGCTGGGGGATATTCCTTACCATACTGTTGTTAGTGAGGTTAGTCAAACATCAGTCGTTTCTTTTTAGAGTGCCGTCTTTGTAACAAACAACAGTGAAAACAGAAATGCTACGATGCAGCGTGGGTTCAAGTCCCACCGGGTCGAAGAAACTTTTCTGTGTTCGATTTTTGTATTATTAATCGTAACAACAGTGAAAACAGTTGCAAAGAAAAATGCCCCGATCAGGTATTTTTCTCCCTTTTTTATCGATGTCAGAGATCGGATGTCCGCCATTGGCCATCACTTGAATTTTTTAATGTAGCCACTCGTATGATATCCTTTCTTTACCTTAGTGCCATCAGACAGTTCCATTGGAGATGCTAAGGTAATTTTTTTCCATTGTCCCATCAATGGTTATGTATATAGTTAAGGACATCTTTCGATATCTTTCTATGCGCCATGACGTAGGCTTTCAAATCAATTTGAATACTCACAAAGCTAAAATACCCCTTGCACAATTTTATGCCTTTTTTCAATCATCATCATCCACCTATTTCTATGTCCCACTGTAAAGCACTCCTCTCCGAGGAGGAGTTAGACTTTAGTCAGCCACACTGGCCCATTGCGGTTTTACACGTTTTTCGAGAATTGTGAACCGTCTTCGATGTGCAGGTTGCTCTCACGATATTTTCCTTCACCGAAAAGCTTCGAGGCTTCGCACGAATGAATCTGTTCTACAAGACTAATTTTTTTTCGCAGCGAGACTGGGTGTGCCAATCGTCGGGGTTCGCGCCTATAGCACAATCAGTATTTTTCGCGGGCTCTTTTGCCGGTGGCCTGCTGTTCGGCTGGCTAGCAGATCGCTTCGGCCGCGTCCCTGCCTTGGTTGGTAAGGCTTAATTCCTGCTCTGCCGCAAGTAGATTGCATACCCTAACATCAGGAAAGCGGCATACGCTGTCATTCCTAAAGCGAAATAGGAAAACAATACAAGGGCGGTAACTGCTTGCATAAACATTTTGTGGCCCTAGTTTTAAGGTAACCGTAAAATTATTAGTAATACTATTTTTTTAACGCACACACTCACAGTCCCGCATTAGGAAAACTCTATATCGCGGGTACCATAGACACACACATAGATAACCACAAATTACACCCAAAGTCACGAGAGAAGTAAATGTAGACCATACAAATATTTCTCCTAAAAGCCGATGACGTCCACGGTCGAGTGGCTTGCACACCGGATGTCGCCATCTCTAAGGGCCCAGGTTCAATCCTCGGCTTGGTCATGTAGAAAAGTAACTATATGGTCTAGAGTATGGGTGTTTGTGATGCCGTTCGTTGCTTCCGATCACAAGTGCTTTAGTTACTTAATTTGGGATCAGAGCAACATATGTGATGTTGCCTAATATTTAATATTTATTTATTAAAAGCACTTTTGACGTGTAAAAAATAGCCACGATATGTCTGAGTAGACGACTTTCGTTTAAAAAGAGTACATATTCTACGAAGTTATTCGAAACACATCTGTTCTTACATTACAAAGCATTATTATGCTACGATATTGGTAGCATATTTACTTACAATATTTACTGTAGAATACGGAAAATTTAAGTTATTCTTTAGTAGATGAAAATGGAAATAAATTAATTTGCTGCGAACCCAGAGGGTTACATGGTGTAAAATAGCTGCTGCGCTTGTAGGCTAACACAACAGGACGCAACTCGATATTGACGACGAGATATTGCAATTCTCTATGCAAGAATAGTAGCATCTTGCGCTAAATGTCGCTCTCACGCATGTATTCTATTAAAGCATCGAACAATCAACAACCTTTGAGAATACCTCGGAAAGAGCCATGTCGGGTACATATATTTTTAGGAGTGGTATTTGTGATGGTAATTAAGCATGTGTTATAGGTATATTGAACTAGCTGGTGTCCGTGACTTCATTGTGTCCGCGGAGGGAGGGTTTTTTATAATACCAAGTGACGGGACGAACAAATCGTGCCCCTGATAGTAAGCGACACGTCCATCCATAACAGTTGCAGTGCCAGTCACAGCTTTAAATGGCAAAAATCTTATGTGCACTGCCACTGCGTCCGTCACCCTGAGACATAAGTTAACAAGTCCAATGTGCAATTTCACCAGCACGCTTACCCTTCTAAACCGGAACGCAGTAATCTTCACATTACTGCTTGGCGGTAGAAATAGGTAAGGTGGCAGTACTTCTTTGGACAGACTGTTTCACAAAGAGCTCTACTGCTACTACAAGGAGGGAGTGTGGGAAAATTGTATGTATGGAAAAAATATTCAGCTATTTTACACGATTTAACTTTCATTGGATTCGCGGGATAGCAAATTCATTTACTTCCATTTTCATTAACATGGAGTTTGGCGAAGTAACTCCTGAATCTATTAATTATACATGGTACATTTTTGACGAGACCTTCTATAGAATTGCGTAATAATTTTTTTTTTCATCTTCGATGTATATTATGAGTATTTTCTCTTTTTCTTATAGTTCATGTATTAAAACTTTTGGAGAGAAAAATAAATATAGGTACCTACACACAACCCAATTGTTTAAACCAGGGGCGAACCTGATCGGATGTGTAGGCGGCGTCGCAAGCATTTTCACGGTCGGCCTCTGGGACTTCGCCTTCTGCAGGTTCCTTGTCGGAATGTCTTACGACAGCTGCTTCATGATGATCTACATTTTAGGTAAGTTCTTTCTGTCACAAATTTTCTGAATTTTGTTCAAACTTTAATATTATAACGAGGTTTTGAAAATACCCAAACCTTTTTAAAGATTTGTTTTATAAATCGTTTTATGTTTGTTATAGTTACAATTAACTATTATGGGGGTTAACTTACAAACAGATATGTATTTTGTTGGAAAATTGAAATTCATATTTAATAGGTTTTCATGGCTTGAATTACTGCTTGACAGTACTTCCTAAACTGAAGTCTTTTACAAGGAGCTCTAGGTACTCGTACTAAGCCTTGCTATTTAAGCTCTACTGGTTCTTCTTCATTGCTAGAAATTTATTATATATTATTTAAAATTGTAGGTACATACCGCTAAAGATATCCGAACCGTCGCGTCGCCTTCTCAATGGAAATGTAACGGTTTTCCCACTGGGCTACCTCCGCTCTTTTTGGCACATATAATATATATATATATATATATATAGTAGCGGGAGCGTTCCGTGGCCGGGAATTTTTGTAAATTTCGAGTTCATAAGCACCCAGCCACACACGGCGTACTGATTTTGATGCAAATCGGAATCGACTGATCGGGTAGCCCATAGCAGAGTTTCGAAATCAGATGGATATCCGAGCGAGAAGATGAACCTGTTTCCTACTATATCTTTCTAATTTGTGAGTTAACTAAACTATTGTTCCGATTTAAAATGTCAAAAGTTTCCGATCGGCCAGTTGTCAATCGCAATTTTGCGCCTCGACTTGGAAGAGACGCAGTTTCCGATCGGGAGAGGCAATCAAAGTCCGGGCGAACGCAGGGCAGGTGTGGACGCAAAGCTGTATTCCGTTGTGATCAGTCTGTCCCGTGTGGTACGCCCCGGCACGCATCCGCTACCCGCTGGCGGCCGCATTTCCCGCTGCACCGCGTCTGTGTGGCCTCAGCTTGGTTACTGAGTTCTTTGGTTTTCGCGATTTTTTTCGAATCTAAATCGCATAGACGTATTTGTTTTTTCAGGTCATTGGTTTTTTCAAACAAACCATTATTACTATTTACATATTATTATTATTTTTCATTCCAGTTCTCGAATATGTTGGACCAAGGCACCGCACTTGGGTGGCTAACATGTCAATAGCGCTTTACTTCGGCAGCGGCTGCCTAGTCCTGCCCTGGTTGGCAGTGTGGATCAGCGATTGGAGAAATCTGATCTTAGCGACTTCGCTGCCCATGCTGGTCGTGATTGGGGCTCCATTTGTAGTGCCTGAAAGCGCTAGGTGATATGTCATCAAATTTATTTAACCATCACAACATCAGCTTAGTATTCGTATAGTCAAGATTTCGGTATGATCTCTCCAAAACAGAAGAATTAACTATTTACCATATGTTATACAATACGAAATATTCTTTATTGCACTCAAAAACTATAAGAGTCGATACTATCTCAGTTTGGATTCAAATTTTTTTTTTTCCCCTACTACGGTTAATTTTGCTTGGGTCGAGCGGCAGGGGCACTGGCTTTATTTCAGAATTAATTTTTTTATAAACGAAATTAAAGCTATTTGAAAAATGCATATCGTATACTATACGTCTTCTATATAGTTCAGTTGATATTAAAAAAAAATTGGTATGTCTAAAGTACCTATTGAATACAGATGTTTTCTTGTACAATTATGAGGTAAGTATAAGTGTTTTTTCTATTGTGAAAATTTTTAGGTCTCGTGTTTTCACACCGTTGATGTATATACTATATCATCAGTGCATATCCACAATTCTACTATATATTTTTTCCAAAGTGTGAAAGTAGTCAATTCAACACTTTGACTGTTATGTTGAATCAGTCAAAGCCATTTGAGGTAGTATAGACTCTTAACAACGGGAGACCCACTGCGCCGATATTACCATGCCCTTCCGAGGCGTCATATTATGTTATAATTAGCGAAATATGTATTACTCGCCTACCATTACAAATGTGCAATATGATAGTGATAAATAAATTAATTAAATACATATCAAAAAAGGACGAAAACACATTGACGACATATGGTTTTACTGCTAAATATCTTCAGGCAACCTTCGAGTTAGAGGATAATAAATATATTAATTAAACTAGGCCCCAGCGAATATTATAAAATTCGAATTTAATACACAATTAAATACTTGTACTAATAAAAATAAATAAAATACTTAAATAAATTAAAAATGTATAATAAGTTTTAATAAAAAACTACATATTCAAAAACGTTGAACCAGTCATGCTTGCTAATGATACATATTTGCAAATACCGCGGACGAATTATGGCAAGAAAAACATAATGTACGAAGGAACTCATATATACAACAAATTACTGAAACAAATTACTATTAAGAAAATACAGTAATCCTAATTATTAAATAATATCGTTATTCACATAACGAGAACCATATAAAAAATACATTTACTTACATAAATAGTAACCACGGAAGAAAGAAAAGAGGGGTATAAAAAACACCTAATAATAAGAACAGAGTAGGAGCAGGAGAAAAGAATAATTAGAGTCGAAGGTTCTATATCTCTAATGAGTTCTGCGTAAAGTTTTAAAAGACTCAACTTATTAGCGGCAGGGAATTTCTGAGTTTGTTGCTTCTAACCGTGAAGGAATTAGAATAAAAGTTAGAAGAGTAGATGGGACAGTTTAAAGAAAGAGCAAAGACATGCATTTATTTTGAACTTGCATTTACTTCGTCAGTGGGTTTGAGAGTTCTAGTTTTGCAACGCGACACGTATGTCGAAGAAAAGTAGAGAAACACGCCGAATTATGTCATGGCCAGTTTTATTAAAGGGAGTAGCGATAAGTGACAAAATAAAAGGAAACATAAAAAGTTCTCGTATCGCGCGCTCAATAATAAAATAACCAAATTGGAAAATTGGAATGTAATTTTTGGGAAATTGCCAAAAGTGATGTAAATAAAATAACTTACCAGTGGTGCCTCGCCACAAGTCGTACCCTTTATTTAATAATAAACTCACATATCAAAAATTCATAAAAAGCATTTTAAATTCTATAAACTCACATGTTGTGGGCAACATTAGTAGTATTATTTTAAGTTTATGTTAGAGTTGCCCAACTCTAGCCCTCTCTCTTCTTTGTTCCGACCTCAATGGCGCAACTGTGCATTGTGTTAAATAAATTCAATATAAAGTAAATATTGAGTATTTCACTTCCAAACTACACGAAAGAACAAGCAATTCAACGCATGTCAAAAATGCTTTTTATCACATAACAGTCATAAAAATAATACGCACTACATGAAACAAGTCATGTATGCCTATGTTAATTTTTATAACTTTTCTGAGTCATTTTCAGGTTAGTTTTCTGTACCTAATTTAGGTAGCAATTTTAATTATTTAAGTATTATAAAATAATGTAAATTATCGTGAAATATTAAATAATATTTAAACCCAAATCTCAATACTTCATGATACTATTCTGCAATATTTAAAATATAGAAATTGCCACTGGAACTACTTCCGGTGGCAATTTCTATATTTTTATACTTTCTATATAGGTACGTAGGTACCTATACAGAAAACTACCCTGAAAATTAACCTTTTAGATCAAATAGGTGTTTTGAAGTATTTCCAAAACTGTTTTAGTTCAACTTTTTTTATAATGAAAACAGAAGATACCAGTAGTCAACTATGGGTCAAGAAACACGATTGATTATCTATAAAAATCTCGATAAAAATAAATCAGAAAGTTCCAAAAATTTTCATTTTTTACTACGCTCATCTTTGGAAACATCAGTTTCATACGATATTATCCTGGCTTCCCACGGCCCGTAGTTGCACGGACGTCGCCTCGCGAGCCGAGGTCTTCCGTGCGGATCGGCGCATGGGACTTATGAATCAAATTTTGTCTCAGGCCGCAGCGACAGTGCCCCTCAGATCTTTGTGATTTAAAGCTCTGAGTGGCACTACTACTATTAACAACTGCACACGCGTTTTGCTTACCACCAGGTACACTACTTGTTAGTCCCGTCACTTAGTATTATAAAATAAATGTGCGCCAAACGTTAATTGCAGGTGGTTGTCATCGCGAGGTCGCATCAAACAAGCCGTAGACGTTCTAAGACGGTTCGAGAGAGTCAACAGAACACAAATACCACAAGATGTTATGGATGAGTTTATCGTAAGTTACTTTGAAGAAGAAGAAGAAGAAAGGAAACATTATTTATTTTAAATTGTACTTACAAACTAAAAAATAAATTAGAACTAAAATTATAGATGCTGAATGGGAACCACTCCGTTTATGCCGTGGCTGAATACAGCCACGGCGCTAGTATTGTGTCGATTTTGTATTTCCAACTTGTTACACTACCATCATATTATATTATAGTTAGTATAGTACATACAACCCTACGTACGTACAGATAATATACTACACTACAATTACTAAACAGAAATTCTTAAAAAAGTGATCAGTTTGTCATCGCCATAAGGCAGCTCAACAGCGATTGTCAAAATCGCGGTTGAGCTGCATTATAATATGGGCCTATTCCACCAGTCCCCTTTTTTTATATATAAAATATAGGTGCGCATTTGACCTCCATCTCAGCTGATGGAAAGTGACGATAAGGTCGACGATGGAGCATGCACACCTAAATAATGCCTAGTCACTCTCGCCTTGAAAAGGTCCAACTTATAACGTTCAGGGAACAAGTCTGCAGGCAGGGAATTCCACTCCATAGCCGTTCGCCATATAAATGTGGAAGCGTAACGCTTCGTGCGAATCTTTAGAATATCCACAACATAGGGGCGGAACCCAAGCCTACGCCTATATAGTCCCCCGGTGATGGAAAGGGGAAGGCGGAATTAAATGGTGTAATTCCATTGCACTCTCCGTGATATATCCTGTAAAATACCAATAAGCAGGCACCTTTACCGCGATGTTCAAGGCTCTGCAGCTTTACCTTCACTAATTCCGAGTCACCTATAAACCTCTTGACACGCTTGTCAATTGAATCCAAAGTGGTCAGTTGGTATGTAGCAGAACCATCCCAGAGGTGGCAGCAGTACTCCATGCACGATCGGACTTGTGCTTGGTACAGCTGAAGCAACCGTCCCGGTGTAAAGTAACGCCTCACTCGGGAGAGGATCTCAAGCTTCCTTGCTGCATTTTTGGCCATGGATTTAATGTATCTGCCGAGGTTCAAATTGGATTACAGGTCCATTCCAAGTAGCTGGAGACAATCGGCTATCGGTATGGATATATCACGAAAAGTCGGAGTCAGCTCAAAGGGACTCCGTTTTGTGGAGAATAGACACGCCTGCGTTTTGGTGGCGTTAAATTTGACAACATTGGCATTGCCCCAATCGGAGACTGCCTGGAGTGTCAAATCTAAACGGCTAACCATGGACTCTCGACAAGACTGGATTTCCTCTCCACTGACTCTTGCATTGGTCAAGTACCTATCTACAACTGTGATGTCATCAGCATACGCAAAGGTACTTGGAATTAACATATCATTGATATGCAGCAGAAAAAGAGTTTGATGATACGATGATCTCCTTTTTGATTGGTTCCTTTCTTTGAAACAAGGAAATAAATAAAGCACACACTTAACATAACGCACACTCAACATAGCCTCGCACTAGGGAAACCCTGTGTCGCGGGTGCCATGGACACTATATGTGTGTCCACCACAAATTACACCCAAACTCACGAGAGAAATAAATGTAGGGCATACAAATATTTCTCCCGGCCCAGGAATCGAGGCTGGGACCTCTGCGTGGCAGTCCGGCATGGTAACCGTTCGGCCACGGTGGCAGGAGGAAAATCTATGTTATTATAATCTATAATTTTGTTTTTAATTTAGGTAGCCTCCCGTCAAACGCGACAAACTGACGAATCTATGCGCGCGCTGTTCAAATCGGCTGAGCTGCGCATAATGATGTGCTTCATGGTCGTCGTGTACATCGCCTGCGCTCTCATCTTCGATGGGCTCGTGCGCATGTCTGAGAACCTCGGCCTTGATTTCTTTATTACGTTCACTCTTACTTCCGCTACCGAGATTCCTTCTGTTACTTTATTGGCACTCGTACTCGATAGGTAAGTGGAATTAATTCATGAATATAAAATACTAAATATTTTGCATTCGATGTAATGTAAAGACCGACAAATTACCACTGAACCCTGAAATAGTGGGCTTTTATTGGGTATTCTTATTGAAAATAAAACAATTAATTCGTACCCTTGATGTAACAAGGAAATCTGCAAACTAACAACTTTTGAGAACAGAGCCTTATAAATTTCACGAACGCAATTCGATAACTTTGATTTAAACTTTCACGATTTTCACACATTATTTGGCTTTTAATTCGGGAATTAATCATTTATAAAACATATTTTAAATACCTCGACGTTTTGAACGTATTGCAACGTCTATGGTGTGGAAGGGCCTGAAGAGACGGGTGTCAACATCTTCAGCTGTGCGAAACACCCTCACGACAACCCTAGTACACAAATAAATAATGAAGACCTAGTGTGGGTAGTTAGAAAAACTCGCACGGCTAGAAGATGCTGACACCCGCCTCTTCTGTCCCTTCGAGACCATGGACCACATAATGGACGTTGCAATACGTCCGAAATGTCGAGGTATGTTATTTATAAGACTTTCATGTGATAAAGCAATTTTGACGCTTGATCACATGTGGCCTTATTATACCATGACTAATTGATTAATTCCGCAAAATGTCCTGACCTAAATGTATTTAGTCAACTATTATCTAAATAGATACCTCGCTGTTGGAATAAAAGTTCTTTAGAAAATTTTCTTTATTTTCCAGATGGGGTCGCAGAATATTGACATGTGGACCGATGACGATAGCCGGTGTTCTTTCTTTGATTGCTGCTTTTGTTCCAAAAGGTGCTTATAGGTATCTGTGTGATATATCAGATTGCAAAACCTGTGAAGGACATAGGAATTGTCAACCTTTCAGAAATAACGACCTAACACGTGGTAAACCGTGGTTTAAATGGACGTAATTTTAAATAGAACACTACGTGGGACTCAGACATATTACCTAAACTAACGGATAAGTTGCCATACATGTTTTACACCAGTCACTAACAGCACTCCCTGGGACAAGAGGTGACAAGTCCCATATGCCTGTAATCACGATCACCCTTCAAAACTGAAACGCAGTAAAGCTCATATTACTTGGCGGCAGAAATTGGTAAGGTGGCAGTACTTCCCTGAACAAACTCTTTCTGATGTGTATGAACATATTTACCCATATAACGTGCTGCGTCGCGTGCGTAGTCCTAATAACTATCTACCTATATTAAGAGTGGATACAACCTCAAATGACTTTGGTTGATTCCACATAACAGTGAAAGTGTTAAAATAATCTGGAAAAAATACACATGTAATATAAATATGCAATGGAAAAAATATATGGTAAAATTGAGGATATACACTGATTCGTATACGGTGTGAAAAGGCGATTCGTAAACATTTTCATGATAGAAAAAAAAAACACAAACTTACATCGGAAACTTACAAGAAAACCGCTGCATAAAGTAGGTTCTTTGCATATACCAATGTTTTTTTCAAATATCAATTGAACTAAATAGAACACGCACGTGAGGCGCACTATAAGTTTCCGGAAGGAATAAGAAAAAATTACTATAAATGGCCAGAAATGAATTTATTGTTTCTCAAAATATTCTCCGTTAGCGTTAATGCACTTTTTCATACGAATGAACCAATTTTGAAAACATTTATGTCACTCCTCCATTACAATCTCTGAAACATATTTTTCATACTCTTCGACAGCCTCTTCAGGTGATACGACGTTTACAGTTATTTTTACGGAGTTTGTCAATAACTTCCGGCAAACAAATGGTCGTGTACCAATTACTATTCACGGTACAACGATTCTCCAAAGTAACAGTAGCCACGTGTCCAGTTTTATTATAAAAAGAAGCAATCATCCGCTCAGAGGCACTTTGCACGCGCGCCACTTTGGTTGGTTTCGGCTCATCTCGAAAGACCCATACACTCGATTGCTGCGTTGTTTTGGAATCGTAACCATAAATCCATATTTCGTCACCTGTTACTATGTCCCATACCAGATTTGACGCCCCTTCGTTGAATCTGGTAAGCATGGCACTGCACCAAGTGACGCGATCCGTTTTTTGAGCCACAGTCAAATTGTGTGGGATCCACCGAGAGCACGGTTTCTTCACACCCAAATGTTTGTGTAGTATTGATTGTATTCGACTCATGCCTATGCCTGAAGATGCCCGAATCTCATGGTATGTCACATGCCTGTCTATTTAGATCATACGGCGCACAGCATCGATGTTTTTGTTGTTCACAGCAGTGGACGTGCGACCATCTCGAAATTCGTCACTGAGATTCACACGACTGCGTTTGAATTCTGCAAACTAGCTATAAATAGTCGTCTTGCATAGTGCTTCATCGCCAAAAGCAGTTTGAAGCTGAGCGAAGCTCCGCTGAACTCTTACATTACACTTAAAGCCGTAGAAAATCACACTACGAAAATTTTCACGAGTTAAACCCATGGTGATGTAGACAACCAATTTCTAAAATGACGCCATAATGTAAAAACAAGTGACAGTCAGATGAAATAAACTGCATTCTACAGCCAGAGAGTTCCATTTTCAAATGTTGTAATTACTTTTTAAATATTGTTTATGCAAGTGGCCTGTTCCGGAAACTTATAGTGCGCCCTATGTATACGTTGTCATTTTTCAAATGGTTTTAATTTCGTTAGTAAAAAAATAAAGTCTGAAACAAAGCCAGTGTTCCTGCCGCACGACCCAAGCAAAATGAACCGTATTAGTATGGGAAAAATTTTAATTCGAGCTGAGGTAGTACCGACTCTTAAACGAGCATCTTCCGAAGCTGGTTGTTTTACTTAAATATACGTCTCACTTTCACAAGGAGCTTTATTGCTACTAAACTTGGTGCTAGTAACTCGAAATTACTAGTCTGTATGATTCTCAATAAATATGTTACTTTTGTCTTCTTACAGGAATCCCGCAAGTAGCGTTAGCAATAATGGCACGTTTTTGCATAAACATGTCGTATAACGCTGCGATACAGTGGGCTACAGAGCTGCTGCCGACTGGCGTACGCGCTTCTGGCTCCTCCGTAGTGCACGTTAGCGGCTACATTGGTACAGTCGTGTCGCCGTTTATAGTGTATTCTGTAAGTCTTTTGTTACTACCTATGAAGTACACTTGCCACTGCTTTAAGTGGCCGTAAGATATTCTGGAGACGCATCGGCGTTGGGAAGTGAACGTGCCTTACAGCTCCGCCACCAAAGAGGAGATTTGGTAGTGGACTTTAGAGTCAACGGCTTAGCGGCAGCAATCGTTAGTTATGCAATACACAACGGGAAGTGAGCGTGCCTACAGCTCCGGTATCTATCTGGAAAATAGGAAGGTACTGAACATGCACCCGGGTTGGCTCACCCGAGGCTCTAGCCTCTTGAGAACCGGATGAATTCAGTGACAACGGTCTGTGACAACCCTGTACACGGTCTGATCTGGGGTCAGAACCTGAACTTAGAAGGTTCCTGTTCACGCACACCCTAAGTTCTCGTATACCCTGAAGGTCGGTAAGGACGGTCACTATTGTAGTTATAGCAATCAAAACTATTGTAGAAAGATATGGGGCTCGCCATAAGATGTTAGCAATTGTAAAGAAATACACAATAATTCTTTATAATTCTTAACATCACACACGGGTGCCATGCCTATGATTGTACAAGCTCCACCAACCTGAAATCCAGAGTGTGTTCTGGATAATACAGGCATCAAGGCTGCTTTATTTAAATAATGTTATGGTAATGGCATTTCTGTTTTAAACAGAAGTGCACTTTGCTCTCTTTGGGATAGAGTTGATTTTTATAGATATTACGTTGACTATAAACACGTAGCACTAGTTACTTTTTTATAACCAAAGACAAGAATTTCTTTAGTTATCAAAAAGTAATGACTATGGAATTATTTTCATTGGCCTCAACGGTGACGTTAATTGCTTATTAACTCTATCTTCTAACAGGAGCGTTATTGGCGGTCACTCCCACTCCTTCTGCTGGGCATCATAGGGCTGATCGCAGCGAGCATCGGCGTGCTGCTGCCCGAGACACGCGGCCGGCCCATGCCGCAAACCATCGCCGACGGCGAGCGACTCGTCAGGGAGTACTCTTTATGCGGGTGTGTATTGACGCCGATTTTAGTACGAAGTTTGTTGCTATTCGAGAGCAGAATAAGCTTGTGTATCATAGAAGTAAGGAATTGGACGTCTATTTGTGAATGGGAAGAGTAGGTCAAGGAGATATTATTACTGGGATCCGCATTTCAACCGGTATGATAACAAACAACTTCAACAAAGAGGAATTATTGTACAACCCAAAAACTAGCGATGAACAACCAAATCTCCACTTACGTTTTACAATATTACACAGGTATTACAATATATTTAGGTTCATAGTCGCGGAACATAATGGAATTGAAATGTAAATAATGAAATTGTAAATAGTATAATGGACCTTATTTAAACATTGTGACGTACATATTAGGTACGGTACGATAACTGCGGGAATTCCCGAGATCGCGCGAGAATTCTTTAGAATGTATGTATGTTTCGCATCTATTTATTATAGGTGCGTTACACAATTATTTACAAATCAATCAATCATTAGTAGCAGTAGAGCTCCTTGGGAAAGAGTTCGTCCAGGGAAGTACCTACTGCCACCTTGCCTATTTCTGCCACCAAGCAGTAGCTAATGAGAACGTTACCGCGTTTCGGTTTGAAGTGTTAGGGTGCTGGTGAAATTTCAGACACATGGGACTAAAATAGTCAACTTATTATTATTGTACATGTAAATTAGTCGTGCATAGTCATAGGCATACCATTTTTTTTAAATTAATTTATTAAATGTTATTAATAATTTCAACAGATATAATTATTATAATATTCGAAGTTTATCGTGAGGTGACAGTGGTGTAGTTAAATTGGATTATGTTGAAAAACGATGTGTCTACAAGGCCAGTCTGGAAATCAGTAATCAGTACCGCGTGGCATACAGCCACAAGGATTATTACTGAGCCTGTTGCTTCCACGTACTGTTGTTGTTCCCACAATATTGTTATATTATTATGTTCTATTCGTATTACTGTGTGTGGTAAATATTATGTATCAGGATGAGGGCGCTGCTCTTCAGACCTTTGCGATTGAAAGCTCTGAGTGACACAGCAATTGCTATGGAGACGCGCGTCGCTTACCACCAGGAGCACAACTTGTTCGCCCCGTCATTTGATATCAAAAGCAAAAACAAAATCGCTACCATTCTGTTCTGCGACAATCTGAATGAACCTTACTTTTTAATATATGTATTAATGATTTTTTATAAATTTCAGGAAACCAGAGAGAGACGTGACAAGCGAAGAGTGGAAGAAAGACAAAGAGAGCTCTCTGATCACGTAGCGTATTCAGTATTCCAATGACACCATAAATCTAATTTGTACCTAATTTAAAAATAAGTAGGAATCCCAATTAAGACATACCTTAGGAGCACAGTATCACGCGATAAACCAGTGGTTTAACTATGAGTTTGAACCCAGTTTCTAAGATCAAATGTAGATAATTTCTTTCTGCTGTTAATGAACTAACAAATCTCAAAATCGGATAGGTATGTTTTGAATATACTTAGGGCTCTTAATTGATTTAGGAATTTTTACTTTCATGAATTTAAAACGGCTCTCTTAGACAATAAATAAGGTATATTTTAGCTATGCTCTGATTGTAGAAATGCTTGACTTGGCGTTAGTTAGTCTAAATTAGACTGTGATAGTAGATCATGTGAACGATGCTTTATGATAGTGCTTTATATAGTCTTCCATTATTCATTTAAAAACCGTAAGACAGGTTTTGTCATCCGTTGGGTGAAATATGTAAGGAATTGTCCTCGTCTCATAATAAGAACTTTCTTAGATCATCAATAGCGGGCTTGATGCAGACACTCTATCGCGCGTGATACAGCAAACGTGCGCGATCGAGCGCACGTGTAAAAACGTTGGAAAGAAAAGGGAAAACCGCGCGATTGTGCTCATAAGTCGCGCGTAATCGCGCCCTCCAACACGCGCCAGTTTCACGCGGTCTATTCTGCGATATTAGCCTTTACACGGACGCTCTTTCCATTGTAACAAAAACGAACACGAGCGCGAAAGAACGTTAGTTTAAAATAACTGCAAACAGACAATTGCTCACTACTGTGCTGGCTTTGGATAGAGTGTAAAGGGGGCTATTGTCATAATTAGACATAATAAGGTTCAAAATAAATACACTTTGCAATAATAGGGGGTAGTAATTAACCAGTAGTTTAAAATTCGAGTACAAACTATTAAGAACACTGGGCTTTACACTGTGGGCTTTAGACTGTCTTATAATTTGGTATATGACTCGATTTGTTATTCAAAAGTATAATGGAGCCCACAAACGCTACAAAAAATAGTTACTATCAGACTGCACCTTTTGTTCCACATGTGTAATCGGTACATATATATCCGTGGTCGAGTGGCTTGCAAGCCGGTTTTCGTAACCATCTCCGAGGTCCCGAATTTTATCCCCGGCCGGGTCATTGTAGAAAACTTTTCTATATTGTCTCGGGTCTGAATGTTTGTGGTACCGTCGTTGTTTCCAATTTCCATAACACAGTGCTTTAGTTACTTACTTTGGAATCGGAGCATAAGTGATGTGGTCTATTATTTATTTATTTATCGTAGTGATCTTTCGTTCCGTGTCGCGATGAGACAGACGACTCTTTAGTGCACATCTAATTTTCTCTCTATATTAAATTTTTTTAATATAGTTTATAGTATTTCTCTCTATATTTTTTTAAATTTTCGTTATTGTATCGTCCGGGTCCGATTTGTCTATTCAAATTTTAATACTGTTGCGTTCGAAGGTACAGTTTTAAAAAATCGTATGTAAATTGTACAGTTTTGTCATACACACGTTATGATCAAATTAGCTTAGCTCACGTAGTTGCAAAACCCGACCTCAAAAGTGATTCATCACCTAGTTTGCCACCCTTAGAGGTGGTATATTTTCTTCAAATTTAAATGAGACCACTACTGAGGTACCCTCTTTCCAACAAAAAAGAATCACCAAAATCGGTTTACAAACGCCGGAGTTATCGCGTAACATACATACAAAAAAAAATGCTGTTGAATTGAGAATCTCCTCTCTTTTTAAGGCGGTAAAAAATACACTATGGATACGTGCGGGGGTGAAGGGCGGCAGAAAGACGATATATTTTAAATATCTTAGCGGGATTGGGTTAGTTTAGTTAGCTGGGTTAGCTTAGTTCGCGGTGTGACCGAAGTATCAATAGATAATAATAATAATAATAATAATAACGCACACACTCAACATATGCCCGCACTAGGGAAAACCCTGTGTCGCGGATGACATGGACACACACATAGACAACCACAAATGACACCCAAACTCACGAGAGAAATAAATGTAGGCCATACAAATTTCTCCCGGCCCGGGAATCGAACCTGGGACCTCTGCGTGGCAGTCCGGCATGGTAACCGTTCGGCCACGGAGGCAGGAGGAAAATCTATGTTATTATAACCTTTAATTTTGTTTTTAATTTAGGTAGCCTCCCGTCAAACGCGACAAACCGACGAATCTAACCGGGAATCGAACTTGGGACCTCTGCGTGGCAATCCGGCATGGTAACCGTTCGGCCACGGAGGCAGTTAAATGCCAAGTTAAGTTAGATGCCCCGGCTACGTGAGCTAAGCTAAGTTAGTTTAGTTTCGTTCGCGGCGTGACCTGCGCTTCAGACGACACCTATTTTTCGTAGCGTTTGTGGGCCCTTTAAAGGGCCATGCCGTAGTTCGTTGTTTAATTACTTTGTAATGGTAAAGGCAATGTTGGCGTAAAGTGGTACTACAAACTATTAACTATTTTTGTAAACAGTAAGGATGTTATTCTGCTATCTTGTTGGTTAAGTTCTTGGGTTTCGGATGACTTAAATAATAAAAAATCGATTCCTTACTTTCTCAAACACGTCACGTATAAAGAGTGATTATTCAGGAGATGGTAAAAATTTATATTTATTTTAAATTTCTAATCAGTGCTGTTAATTTGGATGCATTACTTCAGAATAGGTAAAGGCCAGCGTGTGAATGTGAAGGAAATGTGATGTGAAATCAGCCTGCAAACTTGTATATGTATACAATGCATTTTTTGCATTTCAGTTACTTTGTGCTTTATGATACGAGTTTGATAAAGTAAGGCGACATAATATAGCATGTCACAAACTGGTTACAAAACCACAGAAATAAGTTCTTTTCCTATTCCCTCGCACATAATAAATAATATTATGATGGTTGTAATAAGGAAAGGTTTAAAGCAATTTGTTACCGAAAGTATAAAGCAAAAGGTGCTAATAGGTTCTACGTAATCAATCTATAGCAATATATAAAAGTAAATATATGTATATAGCATGTAATAAGATGTGCTGGGCATAAAATTAATTTTATTTAATTGTAAACAATGATCTTATAATATGCAAATTATAAACGATAAGTGCTTATAATTTTTTAGCATGGTAACTCTCTATATGTTTAAACGGCTTTGGACTGAAGGACTTCAATCCTGCAGTCCCTAATATAAACAATGTAATCGACATTTTTAGCGAAATTGAGATAGGTAATTAACATGTCATTAATCACTAATCAGCGAAACGCGATCTACAACCTCATAAAAGCCGTTTTTTTATATTTTATTTAGTTTCAGTTTTATTGTTAAGCAAAATCAGTCTAAATAATTGACATTTTTCAACGAAAAAAAATACTTTAGGTGCTAACATCTCGAAAGCTATTATTATTTCCTTAATTACCAAAACGCAAATGCAATGTTTATGACAAGTAGGGCAGAATCTATGGTTAAGAATTAAATTTAAAAAATTAAAAATAAATAAAATTTAAAAAATTAAAAATAGAAAAAAAAACACAAACTTACCTCGAAATTTTTTCAAGAAAACCAATGATTTTTTTTATAATCAACAACTAAATGGAACACGTATACACGCAAGTGTGCGATATATATTTTTCAAATGGCTTTAATTTTATTTGTAAAAAATAGATTCTGAAATGAAGCCAGCATCCCTGCCTATCGATCCAAGAAAAATGAACCGTATTATTACGGGAAAATTTTGAATTCGAGCTGAGATGGTATCGACTCTTAAGTTGGTTTTCAAAGAATATATTGTGTCAACCTGCATACGTCTCACTGCTGTGCACGGGAGTAGATACTTTAAAAATTGGTTCACAGTTAATCGTGACAGCTCATTGCGAAATTTATTTATAAAATTAGTAGTTGAAAATTGTGCACGTCTGTTACTTGCAAATAGGCCGTAATATACTTAATTTATACGCGAATGTTAATAAATATAGTTTGCTCTAACATGATAGGTACTTCGTTATATAATGACGCGTGATGTAGGAAATTAATATTTTCGTGTAAGAATGGTCTCGGACGTACAATAAGAGTGAAAAGTCTGAATTATAATAATTATTTTTCATAATGTACGTAAATATTTTAAGCACATAAAAAAATAGTTTTTATGTTTTAGAGTCTTTTTCTTCTCAAACTAACCTCGATTCCGATTCCGTCCTAATCCTAATTTTAAAAACCTAATGAAATCCGATGATCTCTGTTATGGCCCTTTATAATACAATATAATCGTAATAATTGTGCCAGACAGCCACGCCAATTGCCTAATTTCAGATAACGGAACGCCCTGTAAAATAAGTGCGCATTTAACCTCAATCTCACCTGACGGAAACTGACTATGAAGTCAACACTGTAGCATGCACACCTAAATAATGCCTATTTACCATACTATTTACTCTCGTCTTGAAAAGGCCCATATTAAGCGTTCAAGGAATAAGTCTGCAGGCGGCGTATTCCACTCCATAGCCATTCGCACATACGAATAGGCTCTCATATTAGGTTGGTTGTGCAGTGAGGTAGTTGGGATGTCATCTGATTAGCGACGTATAGTGAAACAGGAACAATTTTAGATAGTGTGTTTATTCGTACATAGTGCAAATAGAATTAATAATTCAATTACAATATAAAGAATCTTATGCCTACTCAACATTTCCTTCAATATGCAATCCAGTGACCTACTAAAGAAGTCACATTGCTTCGACACATTACAGGCAATTCCACTCTAAAACACTGTGGTTTCATGCAGTTGTAACCAAGTATGGTCCAACCTTTGGCATGGTCTCTCTAACTACACTATTTACAGCCTTGAATAGTTCCATGCATTACGGGTCTTTTCATGGCATGTGTACCTTATTGTTTGATTCGTTTGGGCAGTCAAATACGGTTCAATAAACGCGCACGACAATAGGTAAACCGGAAGCAGCTACAAGTTAATAAGTAAATGCCTAATTTCCTCCACAACTGCAACAATAGAAGGTGACAATAGAAGGTGAATGAATAAATGAATGAAATATTCTTTATCACACATTAAAAATTACAATGACAATACAGAACCGTAACGCAAGTATCACAGAGTGAGATAATGTACGGACAATGGCACACCAGGCTACACATTTTTGTTCGCCTCCGGTCCAACGGAGCAAGATACGTCAGTGTGTAGCTTGATGTGCTGGCGTGTGTACAATAGGCGAACCTTATTACTAAGTAGCAATTTCTTCCAGGCAACCTTAGGATATAAATTTAACAGTTGGAATGGGGGTGCAACCAAAGAATATCTTGTAATAAAAGTGCATATAAATAAATACACTACTCATCAATAAATTAAATACGTAAAAAACAATGTCAAATACATACATAGTGTTTTTTTATACGGGATAGTAGAGGCTGAAGCCTAAATTGGGATATTCTGTGTTTTATGTCGCCCAGGCGACCGCCTGTCACCTCCAGAAGATTTGATCAATTTTTAAAATTTATTTAAACATTTGTTAGTAGGTCAATGTATAGGAAAAAAAGGAACAAAATTAAAAATGTGTGTGTGGACGTGCATTTGTGTTGTGTGTGTACGAGAATGCGTGACTTTGGATAAACTGTGTTTGCGTGAGGTTGCGCAGGAGGCGATTGAAAGTGCATACTAAATTGGCAGCAGCCTTTATCGTGGTGATAGCTGGCCAGTCGTGCGCAGCCACATGTTAAATAAAGAAAACTGCTGCATTGACTGTACAATGTCATTTTTATTTATGCATTCACTAAAATTATAACTTAATTATCACATAACATTAACACATTGACCAAGCCGATGCTGCAACTCTTCTACACTACGTATAATTTAGTACCGCGTATCACAACTATTGTAAGTAATATTTTTATTTAAATTTAAACTAAGTATTTATCAAGTGTAATAATTATTAATACAAAGATCAAACACTAAGAAAAAAGTTCCTTCGATCAGGATGGATCCGAACCAACGTTTTCCGGCAAACAATACCACATCTAAGCCACGGAACGAACTAGCGAACCTTAATTTATATTGAATTTTTCTATGTGCTATAAGTTAAAGTTGAGTGTCACTAATATTCTGCCAAATTACTTTGGAAAAAATGTTGGTTTTATTTATAAGCCCTACAGAACGGAAGGAACAAAGTCCATTGCCTCCTCGTAACACCTTAGCCCCTTCAAGTAATGACATTTTAAAATAAGATATGCTGTGAGGAAACTAGTTTATAAGATTGTACAGTGTTGAATACCCGATTCCATAAATAACATTGAGATTCTTTGTTATGTCGAAAGAGAGGAGACATAAAAGGATGAAAAGGATCACCTTTTCATCCTTTTATACCACCAAGGAATCGTAATCGTCAACCAATAGCGTATTTAACACAAAAAGCTTTGCTTTAATCAACTTGCACGTACATACTGAAAATGTGTCATATTATGTAGTATTATTGGAGGAATGCTCTGTCAAAAGGTTTATGCATGTAGCTTATATTGCGCCGTCAAATTGTGACGTCACATATCACTATTTCCGTCTTATTGCTCCATTAAATTGTGACATCACTTATCACTACAATCGTCTCGTTCAATTACTCGAATTTCAATTCTGTTTTCACGTTGCACCACTGATTTTTGTCTATTTTTTTAAGCCAATAAAGGCACCAAATTTTCGTTTGTTGGCGAATTCTTGCTCGGCCTGACTAGTTCGGTGTGTACGCGGCGAAAAAACAAAATAAATAAAAAACCTACCAAATAAATATAGTGAAGACGTGTTGCAGAATCGGCATCATGAAATCATTTGAAGATTAACCGCCATAAACTACGTCCTTGTACGAAGTGCGGGACGCGAGAGGGGGAAACACGAATAATCATTTTTTTATTGAAAACGAACTTTGATTTCGACTAAGCAAACATGGCGAGCTAAGCAAGTTTATCGTGTCTGAACAAACTTTGCCTAAATTTAAGCGTTTTTCGTTAAGTTCGTTTTGTAAATACTAAAAGACCGCCATTTTTGCTTAGTCGAAAGTTCGTTTTATAATTCTCAGCCTTAGTCAATTGGTAATAGAGTTCGGAATGAACCAATCACGATCGTTGTACTACCCTGCCTGCTAAACACGGAAAGGTAATTGGGTAAATCTATTCGGTTTGGAAGTAACGCGGTAGCAGAATTATAGAAAATTATATTACTAACGCAGAGTTACCTGCCGCATTAGTTAACTGCCTCCGTGGCCGAATGGTTACCATGTCGGACTGCCACGTAGAGGTCCCAGGTTCGATTCCCGGGCCGGGAGAAATATTTGTATGGCCTACATTTATTTCTTTCGTGAGTTTGGGTGTCATTTGTGGTTGGCTAGTCCCTGGTGCGGGGCTATGTTGAGTGAGTTAGGGCGCATTTATTAGATACGAATTTCATCGCGCTCACGCCGCGTGACCGTGACCGTCAGGATTTTGGGTCGCCTGTCGCATCTGGCACTGAGTGTATATTCAAGAATTGCTATCTATTTGCTCCCTTTTCTAAATAATTGCTACCTTTGATATATTTTGAAAAATTAAAAGTATAATTGACCAGCCAGCATTCTGACGTCAGGCTGGCTGGTGGCCACTTTGTTCGGCATGAAGGGAGCAGATTTTCCAGAAGTATGTATTACCAATAATTGCCACCTTCACGAATTAAACGCATACGCTTCCTATCTACATTAATTTAAAAAATATAAACGACTGAAAATTTTACGAAGAATCAAATCGCTGTACTCGAATTTTATCACATTTCAACAGGTAATTAACACTACCCCTCCCGTGCTCCGCACATGATAGATGGTCGATGCTTTTGGCAGTCAAGCTATATTTAAGTCTGTTTAATAGACAAGTACATCTTCCCGTTAATATTTTGCTTAACGGGGTTAATTCGCTTGAGTATTTGCGTCATCGTTTCGACTAGCCGCTCGCTGCTGACGCCGGTGCGCTTTGACTTAAATTTGGTGAGCAGTTCTGTCGTCGTCATAGGTTTTCGTGCGAGATATCGACGCACTGCCTCTTCTGTCACGCCACATTCGCTGGAATGAAATAATGCCGTTTACATAATCACAGATTTGAATGTACTTTAGCCATAGTTTTTTTTTGCTTGTACCTATAACTTTAATTTCTAAGCTACGTACATTTGTAAATGTTTAGTAGCAATATCTCTTGCCAGCTTGTGTGAAAGAAGGTTCACAAAATTTTAGAGAAGTGGGACATGGATTGGTGATGATAAAATCATACAAGCGCATTATAAAGTCACAAGCACAGAGTTTCACTATATCAAACTACAGATATCTAACTTGACAGTCACAATACATACAATGGAAGTCTAAAGGCTGAGATTTATAAAACGAAATTTGTCTAAATGTAAGCAAGAAATTACTAAGTAAACTCAAAGATTATTTTAATTATTGCTTAAACATTTTTGCTTAGTCGAATTCAAAGTTCGTTTTATTAGCCGCCTTCAAAAACAAGAAGGTTCTCATTCGACTGAACTTTTTTTGGATGTATGTTACGCGATTACTCATTTGTGAACCGATTTTGATGATTCTTTTTTGTTGGAAAGAGGGTACCCCAGTATTGGTCCTACTTAAATTTGAAGAAAATATTCCGCTTGTAAGAGTGTCAAAACTAGGGGATGAAATCGTTTCACGCACTTTCCGCTAATCACACGCAATAAAACTTGGCAAATAGATGTAATTCCACGTACTTTTGAGGTCGGTTTTATAAATGTCAGCCTTAGGTAGACTTTTGGCGTCAACTTTTTGTGGCCGAAATTCGCAACAAGCGTTTAGAGGTGAAAAAAAGTGAGTTACGTGTAGGAGGCGTCGAGCTTGGGTCGCTTGGCGGCCTGATGGTTGCTGGCGTGCGCGGCGGCGGCGTTGGCGGCTGCCACGGCGCTGGCGGCATTCGACGCCGGCGTCGGCGTGCCCGACCGGGACGTGCTCGCGCTGTTCGGCGCGCTTGCTAAAGGGTTAATCAAACCTTCATTTCACATGTCAAATCACTAAATCACAGACAGTATACAAAATGACACACAACATTTATAAAAAAAATAGTTCAGTTAGGGATTACTTTTTCATTACGCTGCTTTTGCTTTTTTTTTTGCTTGAAACCAGTATTGGGCAAAGTACGAAAGGGCGAAAGGCTTTAAATCCGGAGTGTATGGCCCTCGAAGTATATTTTGACAGTCTCGTCGATATCGACATACAAAATAAAAAATAACAAAACTGGTAACCTATCGTTACAACGTAACGTTTTATATAATATGACGTTTGTTCGAATTTTCATTACTCCAAAAACCGAATTACAACGAAACCATTGTTCTTTCAGGATTCATGTTGGATGTTTATCGCAAAGACACGATTAGTTTCAGAAAAAAAGAAAAAACATTTTTTTTCTCAATATTACTTTCGATGTTATGAAAATTCGAGCAAACGTTATTTCTGGAAAATGTCCTTTCGGGCTTCTGACAGGTAACCAACAACACTATACAATAATATAATTAAAAATATTTCAAAAATGCATTTTTTCTATTTTGGCTCTCAGTGAAATTTCTTGTTTTTCTGTCCCTTAAAGAAAAATGTTTGCGTACCCCTACTTTAAAAAACGACAAGTCTAGTGGAACTCGACGCATGAATTTAATTTTATACAACATTTTAGCGCTCAAATCAAACGTTATTACGCCCGGGTAATTTAAGCCGTGTTATAAGATTTATTTTTGGTAGCATTCATTGCATGTCGCGTTTTCGTTATCAATAACAAAAACTTGGGAGATTAAAAATTTTATATAATATAAAAAAAATACACCGCGGACTTTTTGCGGAATACCTTAAAATTCTGTAAAAATTTGTCTGCCACATAAAATTAAGTTGTCATAGAAATACGCGGTGTAAAAATTCAATGGTGACATTACAGGCATATGGGACTTACCAACTTATGTCTTAGGGTGACGGGCGCTGTGGCAGTGCCCCTCAGATATGTACGACTTAAAGCTCTGACTGGCACTGCAACTGTCATGGATAGGCGTGTCGTTTACCACCAGGCGCACAACTTGTTCGTCCCGTCACTTGATATTACAAAAAATTTGCATCATCCATAGCCTGACTTGACCCTTCGCTGGGTTTAAGCCTAGGTCTAACTAGTCGTCGTCCCAGTATTATGCGCAACCGGACCCTGGGGTGCCTCTCTAAGGACCGTGGACATAACTGTTCGGTTTTAATGGGTACACCGAGCTACCGCTCAGGAGTCCCGCACAACCGCTTGCTGCGATAAAAAAAAGTAACTACTGGTGACAGAAATAAATAACCATTTAAATTTTTGTAGTAGTCTGTAGATGAAGATTTTGTTTTATGTAACGTAGCAGGAAGACGATCATCCGTGTAACACCAGAGACGCTGCCTTGCTTATTGCTTCCTTGCGGATATTGTGGAGTAAATACGGCTGAAAGTGCTACCCTGAGAGACGAGCAATTGGGAGTCCCGCCACAATGTGAAGTTTAATTCATTTGTGGTGAGAATACCAACTCAACATCTGTCGACCTTCATGAAGGACTTTGGGCGAAGGCCGAATAAATAAATATAAAATAAATATGCGTTCTGGCAACTCATATTTATTTTTTACTTTTGGGATCCCTGTCTACACACTTTTTGGAGAACTCCTTCTCATAACGCAAAAGTGCTCCATATTTCGTTTACTTACAGATAACGAAAGAGACGAATGCACCTAACTTAAAAAAGATTTTAATTGCGCAAATCAGAATTATTTGTGAGATATTAAGCCTTTGTGTCCGTTCGAAAATGTGGGATACTGATAAACAAATTGAAGTTAGAAACATTTCTATAGAATTCTGATAAAATGCACGCGTCTTTAAATTAACAAATGATACTGTTTAAAGTTATAAACCTATTTCCACAACAATAAACGTACCGTTAGCGGTGGCAACGGAAGGCTTTTCTTCTTTTGGTTTGTCTTTACTCTTCTTCGCTTTTTTACTGGCGGGTGCGCCCGTGCTGCTTTCCGGGTCCGTGTCGGAATCTGAACTGAACTCGCTACTCGAATCTGTTAACAAATGCTAAGCTGGTAAACACCAAAATAAAGAGCAATTTTCAAATGCTATTGAATGTCAAATATTGAAACTTCATTGTAAAAGTCGAAGCTTTTATTGTTAATCTATTAACTGCCTCTGTACCCAAATGGTTACCATTCTGGTCTGCCACGCAGAAGTCCCGGGTTCGATTACCGGGCCGTGAGAAATTGTTATACAGCGTACATTTATTTCTCTCGTGAATTTGGGTGTAATTTGTGTATGTCTAGGCACCCGCAATACAGGTTTTCCCTGTAGCAATGAGTGTGTGCGTTATTATTATTATTACTGTTATTGTAAAGATTAATAATAGTCATGCAGATGATATAGAGTTGCCGAGTCAACATGTGAACTCCATGCTGAGGCGCACGCACACTGGGGCCCATCCATACAAAGTAACAAAACTCAAATATCAAAATGTATATTAGCGTAGTTGTAATAAAGTACTCACTTCACGCGTAAAAATACTGAGTCGCCAACTACTGCCAGTTGTGAAGTGCGTCAGCTCAAAGTTTGCTCTTTATGTAAAATATTTATAGTAATTATTCCGTAACTTGTGTGAGTCTATGTGCAATCTTTAGACAGTTATTTCTTACGTTTGATATTAAAATCGATTTAAGTGCATTATATCAGTGACCAAGCAAGGTATGTTGAGTCTCCTAACATTATTAGTATTTCTTAAGTTTATCGGTATCTGATATACGACTAATAATTTGTAGTAGTGCCAAAACAAAAGCAAATAAAAATTATTTTGCCAAACAAATTGATACCGAAAAGTGAATAGGCTAATAATTATCAAGTAATTCCTGACAAAATCAGCGACGAGGGTGTTTTGCTCAACGTCTCCTTTACGATCTTACTCCGACATTATATTTAAATATAGTTTTATTTATGTTTTGATTTCCATTAAAAATTTCAAATTCTCGGTGGCTCCGTTTTTAGTGTCGATTATAAAGCGGTTTTCACAACCTATAACGCAGCATTTCGTTATTATAATATACAAATAAAATATAAAATCGATGAAATACACGTACCTTTCTTGTTTTCATCGGCTTTCTTTTTCTTCTTTGTGAGCTTGCTAGCTCTCTCCTCTCCCTCTTTGGTGGGTTCGTCTTCCTGTTCCGACTCCTGCTTCTGCTCCTGTTCCTCCTCAGAGTCCTCATCGGAAGTAAGGAGTTTCCTTAACGCGTCCTCTTCAGCGACACCTTTAAGTTCTTTATTAACTTTAGTCTCGTGGTCTGATTCACTGTGGACAAAGTCAACCCACATATTCTCAACCAAGCAAATGAAGACCAGGTTACGTTGTACTAAAGATTGCTTCGAAATATGGGCTCAGCTTATATTGGTCCTCCTTATCTGGTAACCTAATATTTATCCCAAATCTATGATGCAAGTATAGAAACATACCTATCAGAAGAATCCGATATATAATCTCTTTCCCGTCCCTCCTCATCACCATCATCACTCTCTTCAAAGGCCTCGTCGCCCACCTTCTTCTTTTTCTTGCTAGCAGCCGCTTTACCTTTCTTTTTGTCTTTCTTTTTCTTGGCACCAGAGTCACTGTCCTCTTCTTTATTGCCACCTTCAGAATCTGAGGAGTCGTCGTCTGAATCTATCCATTCGTCCATTTCTGAGATCTTTAAATCTGAAAATAAATAAAGAGAAATACAGGTAGAATTAAAAATATTTACCATTTAAAAACATAGTCGTGTAATTCTGTGCTAGTAATAAAGTCACAAAACTCTTCGAAGATACAAACTTGTAGAGCTCCTAGTGAAAGTTTTTATCCAGGGCAGTACTGCCACCTTACCTATTTCTGCTGCCAAGCAGTAATGTGAGTATTGTTGCGTTCTGGCTTTGAAGGGTGCTGTTGAAATTACAGGCACATGGAACTTGTCAACTCATGTCTCAGGGTGACGGCCGCAGTGGCAGTGTCTGATCTTCGCGATTTAAAGCTCTGAGTGACACTACAATGTTATGGACGAGCGTGTCGCTTACCACCAGGCTCACGACTTCTTCGTCTAGTCACTTGATATGATTAAAAAAAGACATAATTAATACTCCAGCAACCTCGAAAACTATTAAGCCGAAATCCAATTAAACAAAATATATATAGTGTATGATGAAATTGCATGATTTAATTCCGCCTCCCCCTTTCCATCATCGGGGGACTAGTGGTAGGCTAAATAGTTATATTATAGATATTCCAAAGATTCGCAAGAAGCGTTACACTTCCACATTTATATGGCGAATGGCTAAGGCGTGGAATTCCCTGCCTGCAGTCGCATTCCCTGAACGCTATAACTAGGGCCTTTTCAAGGCGAGAGTGAATAAGCATTATTTAGGTAGTAGCATGTACATACCTACCTCCCTCACCTACCTACCTACCTAAATACCACCTACCTCATCATCACTTTCCGTCAGGTGTGATGGAGGTCAAATGCGCACTTTTTTTTATAAAAACCTTATTCATTTCTGCCGCAAAGCAGTAATTTGAGTAGTATTGGGTTCCGATTTGGAACGGTAAGGGTGCTGGCGAGATTACAGACACATGGGACTTGTCATGTCATGTTTCTGGGTGACGCAGTGGCAATGCCCATAAGATCTTTGCGATTTAAAGCTCTGAGTAGCACTGCAACTGTTATGGATAGGCGTGTCGCTTACCACCAGGCGCACGACT